AACACATCTCGTAATGTCTCATTGTTTTAAGGGGTTGACAGAACGTAGATTGGTCGTTCCTGGGTCATTTCAATCAAGATTCTTGCAGCCTGGTATCTCTTGTTCTTTAAAGGCCTCAGAAGGTTACTTATATCCATTGGATAGATGCTTTTTGTTCGTCACCAAGCCTACAGTCTATATTCCATTCTCCGAGATTAGTAGTATAACTATGTCTCGTACAGGAGCTGGTGGGGTTTCTACATCGCGTACATTTGACATGGATATCACCTTGAGAGGCTCGAATCAATCGCACAACTTCGGTAGTATTGAAAGAGAAGAACAAGAAACTATAGAAAACTATTGTTTACAGAAGGGTTTGAGAATTAAAAACGAAGAGAAATTAGCTAAAGCAATGTTGGCCAAGGCTATGAATGAAACTGCCGACGATGAAGACGATGCAGATGTCGATATGGGTAGTGCTGGCGATGACGATGACGAAAGTGCAGATGATGACTTTAACTCTGGTTCTGATTCGGATGTTGCTGAAGAGTTTGATTCGGATGCGTCTGTGTCTGATGCCGAAATGAGCGACTCTAACCAAGAGCCACCTCAAAAGAAACCAAAAAATGAGTAAATGCTTTCTATTGTAATATAATAAGTTTAAATTATGTATATTTATTGTGTCTGTAGACTAGGCTAAAAGTATGCGTTTATCAGCCATCTTTGCAACTTATATAAAGTTGTCTATTGTTAGAAAAATCTAAAAACTGAAACAAAGAATTTTTTTAGCTTATTCCATTCTTGGTCTTGAAGTCATATATGCTAGTCAATATAAAAATCGTATTCGCCACTTACTATAATAGGCCTTTGGCCAGCCTTCTCACTAAGATAATTTTTAGATCTCTGCGTAACTGTAAAGCCCAATTCCCAAAAACATATATTTCGAGAATATACTATACTTAGTCAACAGAGAGACTTAACCTCATAGAAATTAACCCTATACGACAATATGACTATAGAGGAGACACGGTAAAACCTACTTGCTTCTGCTGGACCTATGATCTAAAGCAGTAATCTAATTAGATTAGACGCGGTTTTGTGCTACTTATCCAAATGAGGAAGTTTTGCAAGAAGCTTCTCTCCAGTTTATTGCAAATTATATTTCAAGGAAATGATTCCAATTATGGCCAAAGCCAGCATTAAAAGTTTGTTTTTTGTTATTATTATAGACTGAATATATAAAAATAAGAAGGCATCTTTTTGAAATCTTGTTATATTTTCTGAAGCGTTTCATAGTACTAGTGAGAAATTTCGTTACTACCATATAAAACTACAGATTACTAAACTTCCTTAAATATGAGCTCAGTGATAGGAACGAACATATCTGCATCAAGTTCAACAGCTCAGTTATTAAACAACATGGAATTCCAAGATTATTTGCTTTATGAGAGTTCTTCAGGAATCGATACAAAGGAAACAGGAGAGAATACCAAGAATGATACTATAAGAATAGAAACAGAGAGCTCAATTCAGAATATAGAAGACATCCCAATCCCACAAAGGTCACCAAGAAGACCTATTAGGAAAAATATGAATTTAAATGATAAACAAAATATTTCTGCCTCACCATGTTCTGTGCTGGATAGTAGCTCATTTGAATACAGAAATGACGACTCGGAGAAATCCTCCGATGAATCGATTTTTTCCAATGATGGGGACGTTGGAAATTACAACGATCAGCCTATCGTAGATGAATTTGGTCTTGACCTCGAAGGTATTGATGATTTGGAAATGTTTCTAAGCGAAATTGATATCGATGAAAATGGAAAGTCAAATATAATCTTCCAAGTTGATGAAGTCATCAATATCGTTGCAATTCATTCCAAGTGACCTCAGACCAATATCATACATTGATGCTAACTAATTCAATTTTGCATAATTATTACTTCTCCGCCGTCTCTTATTAACTTTCGAGCACTTATAAATTATATTATGATACCCTTTCTAATAAACACATGTTTCTACTTTTCGTTGATATAGCCATATCGATCCAGTAAATAATATCGCTAGTCCAAAATTAGTGAAATCGCTTTAACTGGTGTATGGATGTAGATTACTTAATTATATCCCCCAATAAAAAAAAACTACCCTATAATTACGCTGAACTGGGGTCTTATTCTGATGTCAATAACATACATATAAACATAAGGTTTTTTTAGATTCAAGTAGCGAGGGATTATCACAAGGGCATATAGTACTTGGCTTATTGTTAAATTAGCAAAAAAACGAAGCCATTAAGAATGTCAAGTGAAGGTGGAGGATCTACCCCATTAGGTACGATCATTTATTCAGCAGTGAAGCCCATCTTCAAGATTTATTTTATTATTGCATTAGGCTTCTTACTTGCAAAGAGGAATATTTTAACTGTTACGACATGTCGGGACATTTCTGATTGTATTGTAACAGCGATCATGCCGTGTTTAATTTTTAATAACGTCGTCACAAATTTGAAAAGTTCAGACATAAAGAATTTGGGTATAATTTTTTTCACTGGAACATTGTTGTTTATTATTGGTATAGGGTTATCCGTTTTAAATAAGGTTTTAACAAAATCACCTAAAAGATGGCTCGGAGGACTACTTTCAGTCGGATTATTCCCAAATATATCTGATTTACCAATTGCATATTTACAAACTTTATCTAACGGAGGGCAGATTTTTTCTCAGCAAGACGGAGATAAAGGGGTTGCATACGTCTGTATTTTCTTAGCAGCACAGGTGTTTTATCAGTTTAGTTTAGGGCTCTACCGTTTAATTGAATGGGACTTTAGGGAGGAGTTATTAAAGGAGGAGGAAGAGGAAGAGAAAAAAATAGAATCGCATACGAATACTATTAGTAATGATAATGTTCAAGAGCAGAGAGGTGGAAGTGAAGATGCTGTTGATGACACCTCAATAATCTCTTCGTTCTCTTCTAATTCGATCCACAAAAATAATAAAGAAATTAGTCAAACGAAGAGACATTCTACATCACATCTACGTCCGGATGATGTAAATGATCAGCATAATGAATTTTTAAGACAGTATGAATTACAAGCTTTACAATCTAATCCAAGATCTACAATTTCTTCTGGTTCAGAAATATCACCATCGCATGTACGGTCTCGGAGAGGATCTAACGGCCAGGGATCTATATCGACCCATTACTACTCACTCCATTTGCAGCCTTCCATAACTAGTGGGTTAAGACGTCATAAATCAGAAGACATTAGCGATGTTATAAATGAATATTCAGAATATGAAGAATGGAAAAACCAGGAAATAAGAAGAATAGCCAGTAGCGGGAGCGGTGCGTCGACGAATTTGACGGTTCCTACTAACGATGGACATGAAGAAAAGCAGAGTAAATTAGCGAAGCTTAAAATGCTTCTGATCGAAACCCTCAAGAACTTTGCTGCTCCTAACTCTGCTTCATTGATCATATCGATAGCCATTGCGATGGCTCCACCATTGAAAGCCCTTTTTGTCCCCGGCAATTTCTATATGCCCGATGCCCCCGATAGTCAACCTCCGTTGTCGTTTATTATGGATATCGCCAGCTATATAGGTGCTGCATCTGTGCCTTTAGGACTACTTTTGTTGGGGGCCACAATTTCGAGATTGCAGGTCAAAAAAATGCCCAAGGGTTTCTGGAAAACTGCGGTGGCCGTTACTGTCTCACGATTAATCATATTACCAATAATAGGCGTGGGTTTAACTACAGGTTTCTATAAAGGTGGTTGGTATGGTGACGACCAATTGATTCGTTTTGTCAGTGTCTTGGAGTTTGGTCTCCCAAGTGCAACTGCTTTAGTTTATTTCACTGCCTTCTACACTGATCCAAACTCAGATGACCACTTACAAATGGATTGTCTAGCCGTTTGCTTGATTTTCCAATATGCAATTTTATTCATTACTTTGCCATTTTTAGTGAGTTTTACGCTAAAAGTTTCTTTGGGGTTTTAAGTACCCATTGAACAACACAATTCATTACATTATTACACTACATTATTTACAAATATATACATATATCTATACACCTACATATTATCACTTGCATAGCTCATTGCATGGAGTTATACAGCAATCTTCAGGGACATAAATCACGTGACGAACCCATTTCATTGCGGTCCATTACGTCTTGCGATCAACTTCACTATAAATATGAATGATATGAACTGTCAAGCTGCTAGACAATTGATTCAATTTTGTATACCTTGATAAATAATATATATTCAAGAATCAGAAATTTATTAAAAAGTTCAAAACAGCAAATATGGCGTTATATTACAACTTAGTCTTCGGTTTATTAATCGTCGAAATGACATTTTTCACCTTCTTATCATTACCATTCCCAAGAAGGATCAGAAGATCAGTTCTTTCAACAGTTTCAGCACCATTCCGAAATGAGCAATTCCAGATTGCGATAAAGTGTGTGTTGGGGTTCGTGTTGGTGTTGTTCATTGACTCTGTTAACAGAGTTTATGCAGTTACCACGGAATTGCATGCATCGTCTCCAAGCAACCAAGCAGGCCCAAGTGGTGGCGTTTTGAACGATAGATCAGAGGTACAAGCCAGAAGATTCTATGCGCAAAGAAACATGTATCTCTGTGGGTTTACCTTGTTCTTAACCTTGATCTTGACTAGAACTTATTCGTTGGTGTCGGAATTGGTTCTCACCAAGGACAAATTGGACAACATGAAGGCCAATGGTGAATTGTCAGAAGGTTCAGATTCGAGTGAAGTTGCTCAATTGAAGAAACAATTGGCCAGCAAAGACCAAGATTTAGAAACCTTGAAGGAACAAGCGCAAGGCTTGTCCAACGACTATGAAAGTGTTTCTGGTGAAGCAAAATCTAGAAAGGCTTAATACGACAGAAATATACACTATTAATAGTATGTAATTCTTGTGTATTATTAGAGAGTTGTGTGTATTGCAGGTTGTATAAAATTTAAATATATAGTGATCTATTTATTTTATGACTAAGATTTTTCGTAGGCATTACTCTTATGCTTTGGAACGAATTGAAAGTTCGGACCAGCCTTACCTAAAAACATTTCGGTAATCTTAATCCAATCTTTGTAGTCGGTTGATCCTAAAAGAGTTTCAAGTTCATCTCTACCTTTCCATTGTGGAGGCCTTTGGTTTAGTTTTGGTGGTAATCTTTCTAAGATTCCAACAGGAATATATCTATGAGTAAAACCTAAGAATTCACACATAAACCTTCTGGCTAACCCGACCCCGTACTCGTCAGACCCCCAATGCTCAATGGCAAACTTAGCAAATTGGCCTATCATTTCTAATCTTTCTGTAGATGACTTATCTAAGTATTGTTGTGCTTCAACTTCTTCAAAAATCCATGGTTTGATTAATGCACCACGAGCAACCATAACTGAATCAACACCTGGGATATTAACGGCATTATACCAATCCTCATGAGTGTAGACATCCCCATTACCAACAAAACATGTTGGTTGAGTGTCTCTCAATTCCTTGTTGTCTTCTTTCTTATTATTCCAGTCTTGTACTACATTTGCAACATCTTGGACATACGACCAATCTGCCTCTTTAGTGTAACGTTGTTGTCTGGAACGACCATGCAAGGTAATGGCTGCAACTTCATTTTCACTCAATATACGCTCAACTAATGCCTTGGCCGTATTCTTATTTTCTTTCGTACCTGTTCTGATTTTAACGGTAACTGGAATATCACCAGAAGATGCATTCATTGCCTTCAAAATACGTAACAAACGAGCAGGCTGTTCCATCAAAGCTGAACCTTGACCTTGACGGTAAAGTAAATCAATTGGACAACCGCAGTTTAAATTCAATTCCGAAACGTGGGTTGCTTCTTGATAAATGGCTTCAGCCGCTTTTGCAGCAGCCCAATGCTTAGAAGTGGCAATTTGAACCCCATACCCTGGATATTCAGTTCTGTGCGCTTTTGGCAATGCCCATTCCGCATTAGTACCTTGTAAGAGAGGCACTGATAATGCCATTTCTGAATAAGTAACATCAGCACCTAAAGTCTTCATAAGACGACGATATGGCAAATTACCAACGGTAGTTAACGGCGAAACAATCTTAGCATCACGTAAATTCAATTTCTTCTTCTCTGCAACTTTGAATGGAGCTTCGACAAAAGTGGATTGATTTTCCTTGGCTTGTTCTTGAGCCTTTTCAATATTTGCTTCATTCTGAACCAAAGAATCTAAGTATGGAATCATCTGAGACGCATACTCAAACGTATATTTCTTCTTTTGTAAACTGGTCTTCTTATCTGGAGTAATCTTATTAACTTCGTAGTTATTCAAAGCTTTTGCCTTTTCCACTTGCTCCAAATCTTTGAGTAACTTATGTGTCTCTTTGTTGTAGTGGGAATGTAACCATCTACACTTCAAACCAGCCGGACAGTATCCGATAGCAGTATAGACCGGACAATTACCCTCGATATCTTCAGGCTTAGATGCAATATATTCTTCAACATTATGCGAATTACGGCAGTTTTCTGCCCCAAATCTACATTCCTTTGGGTTTTCTGGATCTAACAACGAGGAACATAATCTGACTTCTTCATGTTGCTGTTTTAAATCACGCTTCTTGTTTTGGCCCCTTCTCTTCTTATTTTTACCTTTCCCACTTTCTTCTTCCTGTCTATCTCCACCTTCGGCTTCGTCATCGTTAACGTATTTTTCTTCTACTGGTACGTCTGGATTCTCAACGATAAATTCAGCTTTGATTGGGGCAATTCCTTTAGCAAAGTGATCATGTCTTGGTTCAATATGTGGCTTCTTTGCCTCTGCCTCTTCCGGTTGTTCGGACGGTCTCTTTTCAGGAATATTGGACATTATTAGTGAGATATCAGTGATAAGAAGTAGATAGATTTTTCAACTTTTTTTTGTGAAAAATTAATTTTGCATCCCGCTCCTACACCAATATGATTTTTCTACAATAATTACAGCAGATTGTTACATTGTCTACATATATAGATATATTTATGGTATTAATGTTTCATCTAAAGTACTTATTCGGATGATAATACATATAGAATATGTGCTATTGTAGTAGGGTTCACTTCACCATTAATACTAGGTAGAACTCATCTCTTCTCTTGTTATATACAGGATACAGATTTAGTACCAAAAAAATTTTCGAATCATAACTTCATATTAATGAAGTATCTGGCAAATTTAAGCATAACCTTTTAAGATATAATTGTGAAATGGTTGAACCTGTGGATAAAAGAAGAAAGCTTGATGAAACTCTTACTTCGAACAATGGTTCAAGGTCGAAATCTGCTCCAAAACCATCAAAAATTTACAGTCCTTTCAGAATTATCGGGAATGTCTCTAATGATATACCGTTTGCCATTGGTACGTTGGGGTCTACATTTTACATAGTCACTTCAGTTGGACGTTCGTTCCAAATCTATGATGCTGCTACTTTGCATTTGTTATTCGTTTCCCAGTCACAAACTCCGTCTAGAATTACGAGTTTAACTGCCCATTACCATTATGTGTTTGCGGCCTATGGTAATTCTATTGGAATTTATAAGAGAGGTAGATTGGAACATACTTTGGAATGCCCTACACAGGCTACGATAACTAAAGTATTGGTATTCGGTGAATACCTCATAGCAACTTCATCTGAAAGTGAGATATTTGTCTACAAGAAACCAGCAGGATCTAAACTCGCTACTGAATTATACACTACTTTAAAGTCTATAAACGCCAGTATTGACGGAGATATCGTGGGGTTGATTCATCCTCCTACTTATTTGAATAAAATCGTTGTGGCCACAACCGGACATATTTTGATTTTCAACATTCGTACAGGTAAATTGTTATATAAGTCGCCAGATCAGCAATTCATGGAAAATATTTCATGCATAGAATCGGCACCTGTTTTAGATGTTATTGCTATTGGAACGACTGTTGGAAGTGTCTTCTTGTACAATTTAAAGAAGGGTAAGGTTTTAGGCTCCAAAATTGTTGCTGCAGCTCAAGATGCTGTTGCAAAAGTTGTCTCATTATCATTTAGAACTGATGGATCACCTCATATAGTAGCGGGTTTAAACAATGGTGATTTGTTCTTCTATGATTTAGCTAAAGGCTCCCGTGTCCATATTTTAAGAAACGCACATAAAGAAGCACATGGTGGTATTGCCAATGCTAAATTTTTGAACGGTCAACCAATCGTGGTAACCAATGGTGGTGATAACCATTTGAAAGAATATGTGTTTGACCCGAGTTTATCAACATCCAACTCATCCATTGTTTCTCCTCCACGTCATTTAAGATCAAGAGGAGGACATTCTGCACCACCTGTTGCAATTGAGTTTCCTAACGAAGATAAATCTCACTTCGTATTAAGTGCTTCGAGAGATAGATCATTCTGGTCATTTTCTTTGAGAAAAGATGCACAGTCTCAAGAATTATCTCAAAGACCCGTGAAGTCGACTAATGGGAAGAGACAAGCAGGACCAGTTTCATCCATGAGGGAAAAATTCCCTGAAATCGTATCGATTACTTCGTCTCAAGCCAGAGAAGGTGAATGGGAAAACGTTTTGACGGCACATAAAGAGGATACATTCGCCAGAACTTGGGACTCAAAAAGTAAAAGAGTGGGTAGTCATAATTTACTGACTATTGACGGAGGGATTGTAAAGTCTGTGTGTATTTCTCATTGTGGGAATTTTGGCCTAGTTGGTTCTGCTTTAGGAGGTATTGGTGTGTTCAATTTACAATCAGGAATGTTGCGTAAAAAGTATGTTTTACATCGTAATAAAGCGGTTACCGGTTTAGCAATCGATGGTATGAACCGTAAGATGGTTAGTTGTGGATTAGATGGAATAGTAGGATTTTATGATTTCACTCAACTGAAATATTTAGGTAAATTACAATTGGAAGCACCAATTACTTCAATGATCTATCATAAGTCTTCTGATTTGATTGCATGCGCATTGGACGATTTGTCTATTGTCATTATTGATGTCGTCACTCAAAAAGTTGTCAGAGTATTATATGGTCACTCTAATCGTATAACAGGTATGGATTTCTCACCTGATGGTAGATGGATTGTTTCCGTTGCATTAGATGCTACTTTGAGAACTTGGGATTTACCTACTGGTGGCTGTATTGATGGTGTTAGATTACCTAATGTTGCAACAACAGTTAAGTTTTCGCCAATTGGTGATTTATTAGCGACAACCCATGTATCTGGAAACGGTATTTCATTGTGGACTAACAGGGCGCAGTTCAGACCAGTTTCTACAAGGCATATTGAAGAAGACGAATTTTCAACTATACTCTTACCAAATGCATCTGGTGACGGTGGCTCCACTATGTTAGATGGTGCTTTGAATGAAGAGGACTCTGATATTATAGACTCATCAGAAGTATATACTTCATTGGATCAAATAGATGAATCGTTGGTTACTTTATCATTGGGTCCAAGAGAAAAGTATAATACATTGTTACACTTAGACACTATCAAGCAACGGAATAAGCCTAAGGAGGCTCCAAAGAAGCCTGAAAAGGCTCCTTTCTTCTTGTCTTTATCTGGAGAATCTGTAGGTGATAGAGCTTCTGTTGCTGAAGAGAGTAATAAAGGTGCTTCTCATCCTGACGAAGAAGATGAATCTGGTTCTAAATTGCATAAATTGAAGTCTGACGGTAGCCATTCTTTTGAATCCAAGTTTACGAAATTGTTAAGAGAAGGTAGTGAAGATAATGATTATTCTCTGTTCTTGAAATATTTGATCAATGCTTCCCCATCTACCACTGACCTTGAGATTAGAACTTTGAATTCCTTCCCACCATTAACTGAGATGGGCAATTTTGTTCTGGCTTTATGCCAAGGTATGCGTAATAATGATAATTATGACTTATACCACGCAATTTTTTCTTTATTCATGAAAAACCATGGTGATGTTGTTCATAATTTTAAAGATGAAGAAGATTTACAAAATGCTCTTGAAGAATGGAGTAAATTGAATGACGACGGTAAAGATAGGATGGACGAATTAGTAAAATATTCCTCTGCTGTCATTAATTTCTTATCTACTGTTTAATATTATAGAATATATATATATATGTAAATAAGACATCGTAATAGAAAATACTGGTAATTGAATTTGTGTCATAAAAATAGTACTCGTTTATCAGCTAAACTAGATATCTATATAATGAGAATAGACTGGCAATTGCATCCTAGAAGGATATTATAGTTATGAATATAAACGTGGTAAAACCATCAACATGGGTTCATCTACGGGGGGATCAGAAAATTTCTGCGGTAAATTGCTTTAATGATAAGTTATTCTTGGGTTTAAATGAGGGCGATTTAAAAGTATATTCTATAAAGACACCTAAAGAAGAACAATCTGATCCAAATTATCCAAATTATCCAAGTCATACTAAGTCTTTTAATGATACTAAGTCATTGTTCAATAATAATGATCAATTGCATATATTTAATTTGGAAACTTCATTCAAAAATACCACAGGTAATCACACCGCTATAGACAGAATTCATATAATTTCAAACGTATCAAATGCTAACGATAAGGAAAGATGTACGTTGATAATATCTAATCCGAATTTAATAAGGATCTATGAATTAGTGGGAACAAGTTTAAACCTAATTGAAGAAGTCGAAGATTCCAAGAACTATGTTGACTATGCAAGTATTCATATGGCACAACAAACATTGTTAATTACGGGTGCAAAGAAGACACTTACCATCTATGAATTGAAACAAAGAACTCGTAATACATTTCTGTTTCATAAACTTGAAGATATAATTGTAAAAGATAAGATAAAAGCCATACACTTTTTACCTCAAATTAATAGAAATCAAGTCATCGTAGGGCTTATAAGTGATTTCTTAATAATTGATTTAGACAAGAACTTCAAAATATATTCTCTTCCATTTGATGAGATGAACCTAGGAAATTTCATGCATACTACTTCCTTCAGTTACTTTGGATTATCCAAGACTGGCCCAGAAATACGTATCATACCAGTGAATGACGATGAAGTATTGTTAATAAAGGATACACAAGTGGCAAAATTAATACTTAGTGGTGAGCCACCAGCTGTTGTAAATACACCTGTTAAATTCCTGCTGATGCCGTCGTTCGTAACCTGTTTAGAGCCATGCTATCTTTTAGTTGTCTACAATAAGAGAATGGAAGTTATAGACTTTGAAAGCGGCGATTTAATTCAAAAGTTTCAGCATAATATGAACTCAAGTTATATATCTGGATATCATGCAGATGATAAGATATTTTTGGGTTCGGGGATAGATTTATTGCATTTCAGCATTCTTGATTACCAAAAGCAGGTAAATCAATATTTAAATTATAAGGAACCTAAAGGCTTCAAAAGAAATATAAGAGACGCAAACTCTGATTTAAAACTCATAGGAATTTCAAAATCTATTTCGTTAGTGTCTAGATTGAAAAATGATAATCAATTTTTTAATAATACTAATGGACCGAATGAGAAGAACAAGCAATTAACGCTTAGAGATTTATATAAGTCTAAAGCTATAATATTATTTGAATCTTACTTTAAGTATCACGAAGCTTTGGTCGAGATTGCTTCAGATTGGATAATCTCATATAAAGATATACTTCCTTTGTTTCCTGATTTTCTCAATGCAGAAAAGCAGATTAATCGCGTTTCAGACGAACTACATCAACATTCATCAAACGTTGTTAATAGAATATCATTGGAAGATATTCTGTCTACGTCATTAGGACATAATACTACTGCTGATTCTGCTACAGATTATGAATTAGCGGAATCTTCAAAAATGGAAAGAACATCAACTGGATCACTTCATGAATCAAAATTAGTTTCGGAACATTCAAAATCAAATAATGTTAGGAAATTTAACAAAGCTGTGAGTAATTTGATAATATACTTTACCGAACAAAGAAGGATCCATGCAAATTTTTTTAGTAACGACTCTGATTCAACTCCTTCAATTAAATGGAAGGGTATTGAAATAACACCTTATGACATTTATCCATATATGGTTCCTGATGAATTAGAAAGTCAACTCAATGAAACAGCTTCAATCATTGATACAGCATTATTTTTATGTTATTATTATACTAAACCAATGCTATTAGGGCCGTTGTTGCGGTTGCCGAATAATAAGTGTGATACAAAAATTGTTCATGAATGTTTATTAGCCAATTTGCATCAGCATAATAAACAACCATCATTTATCAAAGAATTACTTGATTTTTACTATGGACGTAACTTACATAAGGATGCCTTAGAAATGCTTTATAAACTAGCACACGAAAATACGGACGACCATGAAGATGACTTTGATGACTTCTTACGAGGGCCTGAATTGACTGTACAATATCTTCAAAAACTTGATGGAAATGATTTAGACTTAATTTTTGAATTTGCAGAATGGGTAATAATAGAAAATGACGATACCGCATATAAGGATGCAGAATTAATATTTATGAATGACTCATACGAATGTGAAAGTTATAACCATTTCAAGGTTCTTGAGTTTCTTGTGAATGTTATAAAAAATGATGCCATTGCTATAAGATATCTAGAATGGTTATTATTTGAGAGCGAGATATTTAAGAGAGTTGAACCAAGTAAAACTATACTGAAATTTCATACCAAACTATGCTTATTATATTTGACAAGGATTATACAAATACAGTCTAATGATGAGGATTTTGCAGCATCTCAATATTATATTAAATTGAGTGAGATTCTTGAAACTACGACTTTTTATGAGCCTTGGACTGTCTTAAATGCTATTCCAAAAACAGAGGATATGTTTCTTCGGTTGACAACGTTTATTTACAAGAGACTCGGTGAACACGACAAGGCCATAGATGTTCTTTTTAATCAATTAGAAGATTTGGATTCGGCTATGAAATATTGTTCTGATATATATTACCAACCGCATAATAAACAATCAGGTGAAAAATTATTGCATAAATTGCTTGACGATTTACTACAACATACAAACGAGAATATATCCTCCATCGAGAAATTATTGTATACCCAAGGATCTAAAATGTCAATCCTTCGTATATTGACTAGTTTACCGAACACATTCCCCCTTTACAAGCTAGAAAAATTTCTCAGCGAACAATTAAGATCCTCTATGGATTTAGTTCATGATACCGGTGTAGCGAGTCAATTATATAAGGTTGGTACTACCAAATTACAAGACAAATTGCAAACAACTCAAAGTGAAGGATACACCGTTGAAAGTGGAAAGCAATTATGCACCATTTGCAACAAAAAATTGGGTTACAGTGTGTTGAGTGTTGGCAAAGGTAACCAGATAGCACATTATGGTTGTTACCAAAGAGAACAACTAGGTACTATTTGATATATAAGTTGTACATAGAAAGTTATCAAATAATGGTATGATGATGCGTGCATTACACAAACATGTAGTTCAAGTCTCACCATCGCTTTGTTGTAATATGGAGGTGACAACCTGTGAAGTCAAAACATTTGATATATACATATATATTAACGAAGAGGATCTGTTATAGTAATCAATCGATATGTCTTCAGAAGACTCTAAATTTATTGCTGATTCTGGGTCGCGTCATGGTTCTGGTTCCGGTTCAGATATAAAACTTCCACCAATCTCTTTTTTATCAGGGCATGGAAGACAACATAATAAATTACCGTCAGCTTCAAATATGGGTATATCTTCGTATTTGTCACATCCTGGTAGTAACTACTCGAGTCAATCGCTAGATTCTAATGATGAACATGCGAATAAAAGGGCCAAATTGGAAGATACAGATGCTGAACTGCATTCCCAAGACAAAAATCTTCAAAAGTCGTCATTGCTAGGTCTTTATAATGCAGCTAAGCTGTCACCAAATGTGGCATTTACTTCAACTAATGAAACGCAAGTCCAGGATAGAGCTGCTGGTCACCATTCTCATGGGTCCCCCAATTCATTTAATCATTCACATAATAATCAAACACACAATACTCAATCGGAGTTTATTCCGCATACTCATGCGAATCCGCATCATCACCACCATCACCACCACCATCATCATATACATCGCAATTCACCTGGTGAGTCGTCGCCAAATGGAATTCCACATATACATGATAGAAGTCATATCCACGTTTTAGCACGAAATGAGAATGAAACACCAGTAGCAGAAAGAGACGTAGCTCAAGATGCGGAAGGCCATGTAAATCCACCTCGTTCAGACGAGGTTAAAAGTGAGAATAACAATACAGACAAGTTAAATTTGAGTCCAGCAAAAGATGAGGCTGAAGAGGAAGTACCAAACAGTGAAAAGAACCAACCAGAACAAGATCAAGATCAAACAAATGATTCCCAAGTAGCTAATGATATTACTGAAACCAGTGAGAATGGTGTAGTTGAAACAGCGCCAAATGGGTCACCAAGTCAAAAATCACAACGAGTTACCATTGAGAAGTCACAATTACTTGAAATCTTAAAAGAACTTTTCCCAGATCGTCATAACTTAGGTACATTAGTATATAATCCAACTACTACCTGGTCAACGTTACAAACAGCACAGTTGACAGGATTAAAGCCAGAACATCATGAGCGCTTTCAACAGCTAAAGGAAAATTATGAGGATAAACTCAAAGAAGAATATTTCAGAAATAACTTCAAATATATACCAATGATTCCACCGCTAGCTAATGATTACATCAATTATTTGCTTGAAATTAAGATTCCTTACAAATTTATTAAACTATTCAAGGAAGATCTAGATGACGACCATATTCCACTCAAACGTCAAATATGGGGTGGTGCCAGTGGTGTATATACCGACGATTCTGATATCTTGTTGGTTCTTGCTCATTTAGGTCTTTTCAATGGAAAGATGGATTTGTCAGAATGGAATGAAAAATGGACATCCGATGATATTATAACTCCGCTTGATGCTAAGGACGATCCGAACGAGATACACGGCGACTTGTCTGTGACAATTTTGTTATTACCTCTGTTACCGGATTATCATGGTTATTATGCAAACGGTATTAATTCGAGGCCGTGGATCCGTTACAATAAGCATAATGGATTGTCCTATGCGGTCTATAATGTCAAGTGGGAAGGTTACGGGAGCTACTTGCGTGATAAGACATTATTTAAAAGATATCAAACAGAATTATATGATGATATGGAGACTACTAAAGACGAATTATCATCTAAAAAAGGCTGGAGTTTCAATTTTGCGTACTACAAAAAGCTCAAGCATAAATTCGAAACATTGGATAATCAGGATCCAGAAAGGAGTCTTAAGGATTCGACTATGACCAATAATAGTTAACTTTGTATAGTTCATTATCGTGTATTAATAAATGTCTAGAATAATTTTCATTTGGTTGCTCCTGCATTAAAATTTCTCCCCATTATTGGGTGCTTAAAGTATTTGTTTTTTTAACCTTTACCGACCACAGTTAAACTGTAGATAAGGAGACTGGTTTGGAATGTACTAGAGTAGATATAGTATATATATTCATTGTTTTATATATATATTTGCCTGCGTCATTTCCTAAACTTATTTTGTATCGGGGGTTTTTATTATAAAACAACCAAAAAGGCTATTAGTTAAATCTACAAAAAGTAATTATAAGCTTCTAATGATTAACACCATAGAAACATCAACAGAAAATTCATCATTTCAACCTAAATCTATTCTTAGGAATTCAAAATCAGTACCAACTTTACAGTCTAAGATTACACCCTCAGGCAGGAAAAATTCTAATTCCAAAAAAAAAGTGTCTAGTTTCATTAAAAATATTTCTATACTGTGGAACTTGTTGAGACTAAAAGTAAGATCATTATCAGACGAAGTTTTCACAACCGACGACCAAGTGGATGATCTATTTGTTGATACCGATATAGACGATCCACTCGAAAGGTTAGCAAGAACTAATAAAGGATACGCATCAACAGAAGAGCAATTTTTAAAAGAGTTTAAAAAGTACAAAAGTCTAGACAAAATGCATGAAGAATATGTACAGAAGGTTCAGCCTATACATGAAGAAATGAAATCATCGACAACTGCAGCTTCTGATATTCAGACAAAGGGAAGTCTTTCGTTGCAAGACATAATACGGCAAATTTCCGAAACTACGAATTCATCAAAAACCCGTTGTGACGACTCCGAAGATGATGAAGAGGAAGAAGAGGATGGCTTAAAACTGGCTACATATCATGATGTTGATATATGTAAGGTGAGAGAAGATTTGTCCTTGCAACTTAAACAGATCGTCTCATCGGAAAGCGTCGCAGATACCTCGAAGTCTACGTTGCGTGAAAGAGGAAGTCAAATAAACCTTGGAGAAATGTTATGGGAATATCGTCGGAGCAAATGGTTGGCCACAAATCCAGAAGGAGAGTTACGAGCCGAGGAACACTTGCATCAGCTGTCCATAGCACATATTCCAAAAAACTCTTATGTTCGAATTTATAATAATTTAGTGGACAAAGGAAGGCTATTAAAAAATGGCAAGCGTATAAATTTGAGTGATCTAATTAAGGTTATTAACGCTGGTTGGATTGCAGAAGAAAGATGGGAACGAGCAGCCAAAGGTTTAGCATAAGATCAATAACAATATTAATCGTCATAATAAAAGTAATAAAATAATAATAATAATAGTTATAATAATAATAATAATAATATACAGCTATATATAATTAGATATATATATATATATGTGTGTACACATTTATGACAATATTGGTTTCATATCATCATTTAGTACGATCTTTGTTCAGTTGAATGAGCTTTAATGTAATTTCTAATATCCTTAAGTCTTGATCGATTAATTCTGATCTTCTTTGAAACAAATCTACTGAACTGGTTTGTTTTTTAGTATCTTCGTGGGGGTGTAAATGCAATTTCCTGTAACTTTTATTTATTAGATTTGTAAGCTTTTGTTTGTCATTTAAAAGCCCTTCATAATTTACAGACACATCTTCTCTTAATTGTCTATCAATTTCCTGATCTAATTGATGAATAGTCGTTATCTTGTCTAATACAGGTGGGCACCCATTGCCATTAGATGAGTTACTTCGTATCAAGGATGCGAGGGTCCTATGTAATTGTTGTGATAAATGTGACGATTCATGTAATAGTTTCTTTTGATTATGTTTAGCTTGTAGAAGTAAGTTTCCATGCAGATTGGACTGTTGTCCTTCATCGCTCTGTGGTACGTCTCGTGAGCTCATATGTTTTGTTGTTCTAAAATTGTTATTCTTGTCTGGAGATTGATCCGAGCCTTAAATTCTCGCTAAATTTTGATGACTCTACTAGCACTATCAACTAATCCACTACATATGAACACAACTAATAAACAATTCCTCTCGAAAGAGTCACTTTTCTTGAAGTTTCCTAATGTACCACTTGATGAGTGCAATGTTGAAGACTTATTGGAAGGTATAAAATCCAAGCAACCATATAATGAACTTATAGATTTAACATATTATCTTTTAAAGAATAATTCCTTATCGTTATCGGAATTACTTAAAATATGGGAGATTCGGTTAGTATTGCATTTATTTAATAACCAATTGGCGTTTGCTAAGAAAGAAGCTATTAATCTAAACAATGCATTGTACTTGAATGAAAACAACGATGTTGCCCCACCACAAGGTCAGCAAGTCCAAAGTCCAAATAGTAATAATGATAGTAGAGCAAGCTCCATGAATTCAGGAATTGGAAATACACCAAGTCCAAGCCCCGGATTACAACCAATATACCCTTTACCAAAGAATAATAATGGCCTAATTGGCCATAGCTTATTGATAATGATCCTCAGATTGAGGTCTATACCCAACTTGAGCCTCGTCAACGAGTTATACAAACTATGCTATCAGTTGAGACTAAGGTCATCAGGCGCTGAAGAGGAAAAAGTAGACTTACAACTAAAGTTGATCAACTTGAGCTATGATATCATTGTCATACTCAGTATCAGCAAAAATTACCATACGTTACTCAATTACTTAGAGTCGATTAGATACGAATTGGTGCTACAAAGGAAACAAAACCAACTCACCGACATGTATAGGCAGTATCTATCGAACGTGACATTACTATGGGTGATTATCCTTATCATGGTGTACGTTCGAAATGGAGCAAAGAAGGATAGATTAACGGGTATAATTACCAAGCACTACCAACAAGCATTTGAAAACGATGTCAATGAAGTATCTATGAACAGCTTATCGTATGTGTTGTCCCATATACTGCCTCTCCCTTCGTCAGACAAAATGGCCAAAGTACCACAAGATGCCCTAACAATACTGCATTTGGTGCAATTAATTCTACTGGGTGATATTTCTGGAAGAATAATATGTTCTACAATAGGCTTGTGGGATATCTCGAATGTGCATGGATACTCCTTGACCAAAGATGAGGAGTTTAAATTAAACCACCAATCTAAGGAGGTCTCCAATAACGTGTCGAAGTGCTACAATGAATTGACGCACGACTGGGGCAAGTTTATTTACAAGGTGTACGGATTAGAGTAATATATTGATCAATAGCCCTATGGAAATAAACAGACTAGTCCTTTTTATTGTCATCTCCTATTCATATAAATCTCACCGAATCCTTTTTGTAGTGCCTACAAACTAAATCTTTTACTTTTTTCGTATCCATCTTAGCCACGTTAAATATTTCCTGTAGTGCTTATGGCCCTGTATAACTATCCTAATTGTTCTATTACTATCCTAGTTGTCTAATCTATGGCACGACCTTTTTGCAGTAACTAAAACAAACTATATTGTCCTAACCACCAAAGTTAGTTCCTTTCACATATTTTAGCCCTCGATAGATTCTAATGCATGAACTGTTTCGCTTAAGGGTTTTTTTTTTTACCTTTTCCATAGCCCTACCCGTATAGCTAGTCTGCTACTGTCTCCATACATACTATTCCTTGCATATGGTTCCAACTATTAGGTTTCAGACCTATGTATTCTCACGTGCACAAAATTCTATGATTTTTTTCAATTTTCAAAAGTTGTGACTGCGTTTTGTTAAATTTTCTCATCAATGACGAACCGGTACAGTGCGAGAGGTTTCGTGAAAAATTATCATACATAATTAAAAAGGTTCAGAAACAGTTAAGTTCCTTTAATCAACTGAATAAACAATAGTTAAAATGGCATTACAAGACGTTGTTACCCGTGAATACACCATCAACTTACACAAGAGAGTATGTTATAATGAGAGGAATTTGTATTTGTATTTGTATTGTGAATTAAATGAACCCAGGAAGATCTAGTGGTATAAAAGAATATTAGAGAGAAACGTACGACAACCACGGTATTGTATGATTATACGAAATGTATGAAAGTCGTATGATATAGTGGTACAAGATGTTCGTAACGTAGACCAAGAATTGAAAATATAGAAGTAAGGTGACCAAAGACAAGAAGTGAAGAAAAATTGATGAACAAAGAATATGTACATAGAAGAAGGGATACGAAGAATTTATTGAATAACGAGAGGTCTGGGGTTATTTGGTTCATAATACGTACATTCAGAAAGAAAGTTTGAATTTTGAGTACTAACAAATATCTAGTTGCACGGTGTTCATTTCAAGAAGAGAGCTCCAAATGCTGTCAAGGAAATCAAGAAGTTCGCCACTTTACACATGGGTACCACCGATGTTAGATTAGATCCTAAATTAAACATCCAATTGTGGAAGAGAGGTGTCCAAGGTGTCGAAAATAGAATGAGATTAAGAATCTCTAGAAAGAGAAACGACGAAGAAAATGCTAAGGAAAAATTATTTGCTTTAGTCGAACCAGTCACCGTTGCTTCTGCCAAGGGTTTACACACCGTTGTTGTTGATGAAGATGAAGCTTAAATTCTTTGATTAATCTATATATAAATAAAATTTGTCTTAATGGTTTTTATAGTTGATGTATAATAAGGAATTTAATCTATATCTGCGAGTTGAATTGTATTGCATGATTCCTATAATAAACTAATTGTTTCTACGTCTTTGAAGCCTGTAGTAAGGACGGAAAGTTCGTCCTACGGCTTTTCTAGACCTATTCATTATTGTATATTACCTGGTATATTAAGAGTTTACTAAAGTATTGTAATCTACAATCAGGATTAAGAGTTTTCTACACTAGCGATCTACAGTCAGCATTCAAATGAACGTATTTATTGACATATTCTATCTTAACGAAGATATACTAAAAAAACTAGTTAGAATTAATTCATAATACACAACAGTGTAGACTCGTAGATATATCAGTGTAACTATGACAAAAATACCAGGTCATTGCAATAGAAACCATGTGCAACCAAAACGGTTACGATTTCCAAGAAAGCTCTATAAGTGGTATGAACAAAAAAAAGTTTTCATCATCTAAACCGTATGGTCTAGCTATCTATTTTCAAGTCTCTTACGCATCCGGATTGCATCCAGCGCCATCTATCCCGATTAATACATACTTTAACACGTTGATTCCCGTTGAATATTCTTCTACAATATTGTTGATGTTTTCAACTTAGCATTCTTTGAAGTACTTTGTAAATCCAACTGAAAAATATCAAAGTGCGGGTAACCACAGGTTTGCTAACATGTTAGGGTTCTTAGGGAGTATTCTACTGCCATGAAATGGCCATAATGCCCATACACTTAGTCTAGCAGTGTATAGCAGCTTCGTTCTCCGCTTCGTAATTATACGTTTTCTAATATCGGTTCAATTTCTTTATGGACGTCATCACAAGCATCCATGGTAGCAGAATGAACTACAGATGGGATGAGATAAAGGACTACAAATTCGCCGATGAAAAGGCAGTATAACGCATATACAATGCTTCGGTGAATCTCTGACTATAGCGCGTCTTAAATGCTGATTTATATATTAATCAGGAGTAGTTTTCATAAGTAAGCGTATACAATTTTTCAGCTTTAAGTCTCACTCTCACCCCACCTCCACAAAATTTAGCCCGAGGCAAATTTGAATAATGGAGGTCAATAGAATGGAGATAACACTATATATATGAAAAAAGGTCAAATTGATAAAATTCTACTCTCTCGTATAAAAACACACAAGTGGATATAAATATGCCGTCAGCAGTATTAGAAAAGCCTTTGAATGAGATAAATAAGTCCATTTCCACTACGGGTAATGTCCATTTCATCAATGATCCTACGCTAAGTGAACAGTTTGACACCATTCAGTTATCGTTCGAACTCTTCATACGTTTGTTCCCTGACACTGGTACCGACGATTCCAATAATATTCCTGAAAATAAGTTTGTCTTGATCAAATTGTTGGGTGCTCCAGATTACTTCAAAGAATTCAAGATCTATCGGGTTACATCTATTGATCATGGTGCTCCCACATCCAATTCGGTTATATTTATAAATCATTCAAACTTGGTTAAATTCGACAATCAATTAACGTTGAATAGTTGCGTTATTCAGTCGATCGATTATTCGTGCATTCCTACTATAGAATCATTGTTTGTTTCGGTTCCACCAAATATTTATCTGGTTTTACATGATAAATCACTGTCGTCCATTCGTGAACAATTTATCAATACTTTTTTGTTAGACAGTGGTTCGGTTGTCAGCACAGGTGATATTATCAGGTCTATAAATGGTGAAGTCAAGTTAAGTGAACCTGTGTCTCAAGGTATAGTTAACAATAATACCAACATTGTGCTTATCAAGACTGTGGAAAACGATAATGGTGATATACACTACAATGAAAAAGAGATAGAAGATCAGGAAGTTTTTGAGGATGATTTGGATTCTGAAACACATTTGGATTTGTCTACATATTTGTCGTCGTCGTTGCAAATTGACTCGCCGGCAGTCCGTTCGGTTAAGTTAAAGGTTGAACCACTTCCAGCAAAAATGAGTGTTGACATGTTACCTCCTATATGGCTTAAAGAAGACACGGAATTATTTGTGTTTGCCAATACGGCAGATTTGCCAAAGTTAGGCTTTCCAGTGTTTAACGGAGATTCTGTAAAGCTTAACTATAATAACGACAAAATGATCGTTAAACTCTTTACATTCATTGAGCCAAACAAGTCTTTTCGGGGAAGAACACTTTATCTATCCCCTATATTGCTTGCTAACTTAAAGCTTTCTTCGAGTAGTGAAGTTACTTTGGAGCCTATCAAACAAAGAGATCAACCATTTACCAGTTTCTTTCCAGTTGCAAAATCGGTAACTATATCAAGGGTCTCCTCTCATATCACAATGGATAAAACTTATCAGCAGCATTTTTTTTCTGAGTTGAAGACAACCTTTCATAATAACCTCAAGTGTGTTAAAAGAGGTGACTTTGTACCTGTGGTTATCGATACGGTATTAGCTAAAACTATGTTCGATACGAATAATCTTATTCAGCAGCAACAACAATTACAACCTGGTGAAGAAGAAAATGCGCCTGACATGGGGGTAATTCCAACCGGCGATCCAGATGAAGTGGCATGGTTTAAGATTGTGGATATTAATGGCGAGTCTGATGAAAATGAAACTAATCAATTTATTATAGATCCTACGAAAACAAGAATGATTTCATCAGGAGTAGAATTTATTAAATTACCACCTAATGATTTTACTCATTGGTACCAATACTTGAAGTTACCACCTGTGTTTAACTTCAACAAAGTCATTGGTTCAAACCCCACATGTTTCAAATATGCAAGTGAATTTAAGAAAATTGTAACTACATGTTTAAATTCACGGTCCAAGATTAACTTGAAAACTACAATCTTATTGAATTCCATGACTAGGGGTTTGGGTAAAACTACTATGGTTAGAAGCGTTTCTACTGATTTGGGCCTTAATTTAATAGAATTAGATTGTTTTGACTTGATTAATCCGGGTGCTGAATTGAAGACAATTGGTCTTCTCACGGGTAAAATAGATAAACTAATTGGTGCACAAGAAAATTCAACAGATAAGGATTCCTCATATCACGTCATATATTTAAAGCATATTGAGAATTTATGTGCTCAGAGTAACCAAAATGAACAGGGTGCAAACATTACGACCTCTTTGTCATTAAAAGTTATTCAAACATTGAATGAGTATCTCAATGATTACTCGAATTTAATGATTATAATGAGTTGTAATGATTTGGATAAGCTAAATGAAAATTTGAGACTGTTAATTAAGTTCCAAATTGATTTCAGTGTTCCCGATGAAAAGGAAAGGTTGGAAGTTTTTAAGTTTTTAATCGAAAATGAAACTCACAAACTTATTAATTCTAATAATCCGGAGCCATTTGAGGATAGACAAGAATTTGAAGATCAGTTTGATGTATCCGCCGTTTCATTTAGCAGAAGGCATGATATCAGCTTCTCTTCGTTAGCTTTGCAATCGGCAGGCTTAACACCTCGTGACTTAATGTCTATAATTAAAAAGGCAAAGCAGTTGGCAATCAGCAGATTAATGGGCCTTGCTAAAGACAGTAAGATTTCTTTAGAAAAATTAATTAAGGTTGGTAATGGTGGTTTAATAACTTGGATTCCAGAGGATTTTAATAAGGCTATTAATGATGCACGTAACCAATTCAGTGATTCTATTGGGGCACCACGTATTCCAGATGTTAAATGGGAAGATATTGGAGGTTTAGATTTAGTAAAGGATGAAATTATGGATACCATTGATATGCCATTAAAGCATCCAGAATTATTTAGTAATGGACTAAAGAAAAGAAGTGGTATATTGTTCTATGGTCCACCAGGTACTGGTAAAACATTACTTGCTAAGGCTATTGCTACTAACTTTTCGTTAAATTTCTTCAGTGTGAAAGGTCCTGAATTACTTAATATGTACATTGGTGAATCTGAAGCCAATGTTAGACGAGTCTTTCAAAAGGCCCGGGATGCAAAGCCATGTGTTATTTTCTTCGATGAATTGGATTCTGTGGCTCCTAAGAGAGGAAATCAAGGTGATTCTGGAGGGGTTATGGACAGAATAGTTTCCCAATTGTTAGCAGAATTAGACGGTATGAGTGGTGGTGCTGAAGGCGGAGGTGATGGTGTTTTCGTAGTGGGTGCTACAAACAGACCTGATTTGTTGGATGAAGCTCTTTTAAGACCCGGTAGATTCGATAAGATGTTATACTTGGGTATTTCAGACACCGATGAGAAACAATCCAAGATTCTAGAAGCATTGACTAGAAAATTCAAGTTGGCTGACAATGTTGACTTGTTTAAAATTGCGAAGAAGTGTTCTTTTACCTTCACAGGGGCTGATTTCTATGCATTGTGTTCTGACTCGATGTTAAATGCTATGACCAGAACAGCAAACGAAGTCGATGCCAAGATCAAAAAGCTTAATGAAGAGTTAACTTCCCAAGGAAAAGAAGAAATATCTACCAGATGGTGGTTTGACAATGCTGCCACGCCGGAAGATATCGACGTATTAGTTCAAATGGAGGATTTCAACAAGGCACAAAGCGAACTTGCTCCATCTGTGAGCGCCGAGGAATTGGAACACTACTTACGAGTGAGAGAAAATTTCGAGGGAGGTAAAGAAAAGGCCATGGCTAACGGTACCACCAGTGCTGCCAATGGCACCTCCCAAGGTATTCCCCACGAGTTTATGCAGAAGGTCGAGGAGCTCATTGGCGATGGAATCGATGGCATCGTCGACGAAAACGGTAATCACATCGATGCTTCCAGTGACCACTGAGTCGCCTACATCGCCTACATACCTGGGTCCCAATGCTGGTCGTTAAACGTGTATATTCATCATTAATGTACGGTCTATAAAGTCATTTTTTAAATAAATAGCTCTTGTCTAAAATATCCTTCGCCTGGTTGATCTTCTGACTCAAGTACTGGCTTCCCTGTTTGTCCGGGTGGTTCATCACCATC